GGGTGAAAGTAACAAGGACAACCTACACAATGGGAGGAAATTTTTGCATCCTATGCATCCGATAAGGACTGTGAACTAGGAATGTACTTAGAACTCACGAAATCAGGAAGAAAAAAATCAAATAACCCTATTAAAAAGTGGGCAAAGGATTTGAACAGAAACTTTTCTAAAGAAACAGAAGATGCCAACAACATATGAAAAATGCTCAATATCTCTAATCATCAGGAGAATGCAAATCAAAACTACAATGAGATATCACTTAACTCCAGTGAGAATGGCCTTTATCAAAAAGTCTCCAAACAATAAATGCTGGTGTGGATGCAGAGAGAGAGGAACACTCCTACACTGCTGGTGGGAGTGCAAACTAGTTCAACCTCTGTGGAAAGCAATATGGAGATACCTTAGAGAGATACAAGTGAATCTACCATTTGATCCAGCAATCCCATTGCTGGGCATCTACCCAAAAGATCCAATGACACCTACAAAAAAGACACCTGCACTCGAATGTTATTAGCAGCACAATTCATAATTGCAAGGCTGTGGAAACAGCCCAAGTCATCAATCCAGAATGGATTAATAAAATGTCATGCGCCACCATGCCTGGCTAATTTTTTCTATATATATTAGTTGGCTAATTAATTTCTTTCTATTTATAGTAGAGACGGGTCTTGCTCTTGCTGAGGCTCGTTTCGAACTCCTGACCTGGAGCAATCTGCCCGCCTAGGCCTCCCAGAGTGCTAGGATTACAAGCGTGAGCCACTGAGCTGGCCACTATTAGCCTTTTGAACAGAGAAAAAGCAATGTTTGAAGACATATTGGAAGCTTGGGATACTGCTGAAAAACAGTGATCCTTCATAGGAGATTAAGGTCTGAGCTTTGAGAACAAGTATGAGAACTGGATGCAAGGGTCTGATACATAAAACATTTGGAATGTGGCACTATTTCTTTCTTTTGCTCTAATTCACATGGCTTTCCTCTGGCGTTGCTTCCCATCTGTTTTCCAAGTTATTCTAATTCTGAATGACTATGGATTACCAATTGCTGCTGGCCTAGAGCTCTCACCAGTTCCTCCCATCCCTTTAACAGGTGTCTGGTCACATCTCCAGGTCTTGCCTCTAGCCCAGAGTAAAAGGAAGCATTTGCTGAGAAACAATATGACCAGGACCCGAAAGAGAAAGACTTTTCTCTCCAATCGTTTCCAGCAGTCACTCATCCCACAGCTGAGATGGGGCATGATCTACCCAAAACTGAAAAGCAAGGAGGCCTGTGCCTCCATCTCCAACGTGCCCCCAGTCTTCCCCTTCAGCCCACAGCATTATGCACGCCTCAAAAGCCAATATCTGAAAAATGCCGCTGCAAACCTTACCTTCTCTCAGGAGGTGGTGTGGCAGCGAGGGCTGCCCAGCCTTCCTTACAGCCAGTACTGCTTTGACCACCTCTACAACACAGATGACATCATCCAGCCTCCCCAGGTTAGGAAGGCCCGACCTGAGAAACCTGCCAGCTACGCGTTCTTGGTTCCCTTGGGTCCCTCAGCAGGGGACACCTCTCAGCCTGCGAAGACAAAAAGCTCTGCCAATGCTGAAAAGAAGCTGAAGAAATCAAAGCCAGCAAAGGTAGTCCAGGAAGCACCTCGCCCCCGCATCCATCGTCCCTGCAGGAATCCAGATATCCTGGATCTGCTACCTTCTCCAGATGTGAATCTGGAGGAGAGAGAAGCCTGGCTTCCGCCTGCTGAGAAGGAGGCCAGAGCCTGGGAGGCCCTCATGCTGGAAAACCTGGATAAACGCACGGCCCGATGGATCCAGAGCAAGCGTCCTCTAAGGGCTGGGGCATCCCCCAGCAAGTGGCAGACCTTCTTGCGCCAGCAGTACGACTGGAGCCACATCCGGGATGAGCTCACCTCCGACAGCGACCTGGATCTCCTGAAACAGCTGGAGGCGGAAGAGAGAGCAGAGTTTGAGGATCATATTGTCATCCCGCCCCCTGAGGAAAAAAAGAAGCCAGAGATACTGCTTCCTGTTTATTATAGGTAACTGGCCAGAGCCTCAGGTGTACCTTTGAGAGTCCCTGCTCCCCTTCAAAGACTCCCAGGTGGGTTCACACTCCATAATTCAGAATGCACTCACCCATCAACTTCACGTTCTCCACTGCCAACCTGCTCGCTCAGATCTCAAAGTAAGGAGTTCTCTGGGTTGGATAATTTTTTGTTGTGAGGAGCTGCCCTGTGCATTGTAGGATGCTAGCAGCATCCCTGGCTTCTACCAACCAGATCACAACCCCCTAGTTTTGACAACCAAAGATGTCTTAGACATTGCCAAATATTTCTAACAGGGACAAGATCGCCCCTAGTTGAGAACCGCTACTCTTAAAGGGATCTGCTCTCAGCCTTCCCCAGCAGACTTAGCCATCAAACTGCTGATCCAGTGACTGTCCAGGTGCTCTCAGAAATGTATTCATGGTGGAGTGAGGAAGGCAGAGGCCTCATGGCACTGAGGTTTGGTCCTGCCTTACTTTGAATAAGGAGCCAGTGCAGGACAGAGAACCAAACAACCTACATATTTCTCAGATTGCATCCTTCTGATTGATTGATTGAGACAGGGTCTGGCTCTGTTGCCCAAGCTAGAATGCTATGGCATCAGCCTACTTCACAGCAACCTCAAACTGCTGGGCTCAAGCGATCCTCCTGCCTCAGCCTCCCGAGTAGCTGGGACTACAGGTATTCGCCACCATGCCTGGCTAATTGTTTCCAATTTTAGTTACCTAGTTTTTTCTATTTTTAGTAGAGACAGGGGTCTATCTCTTGCTCAGGCTGGTCTTGAACTCCTGACCTCAAGCGATCCTCCCACTTCCGGCCTCCCAGAGTGTTAGGATTACAGGTGTGAGCCACGGTGCGCAGCCTTTCCTTCTCATTTATAGCTAGAGGGAAGATTGGAGCTATTATACTATCCCTGATTCCCAAGAATAAAATAAAAATAAGTAGAAATACATTTATTTATTCATTTGTTGGACAAATATAAGTTACAAGAACTAGTAGTAGTTCTTGTTACTTTCAAGGTACTCTGGGAAGTACTAGGGATATCGTGTAAAAGTGATATATTTGTGCGTTTAAGGAGCTACAGCCTGCCACTGGGTAGACAGACATTAAAACCACACACATAATTAAAAAAGTGAGGTGATGTAGGAGGTGAGTTCCCTTCCCCAAGTCCATGCAATCTCTAAGGGTATCAATGTAAAAAGGGTTATGCTGTAACACATGACATCAGTTGTTTAAAAAGGGAAAAAAAAAAGGGTTATGCTGTTAGCACTTTGAAAAGTTAAGCAGGAGAAAAAAAGGGTCATGCTGGGAACATGGCTGCTCTGTCATTCTGTCCAGTGGCTACAGAAGGTGTAGCTCTATCTGTGGAGTGGAAATGTGGCTACAGACAGGCCCTTCTGGCAGCTCCATGTTGAACTGGCACCATGGGGACAAGGCTAATAATTAAACATAGGTGTCAGATGTTCATATGTGTATGAGCTGAACTTAAAGAGGAAAGTGAGTGAGCTGTGTACTAATGGAAAGGTGGGGCCCATCTCCTGCCCTTTCCCCTTATTCCCCCTTTCTCACCCCTGCCAAGATTTCCCAGTTACTTCTCAAGAGTGGAGACATCTGAAATCATGCCTGGTGACAATAAGACCACTGAGGGTATCAGTGAAAGGAAGAGCATCTTTCAGGCCCAAAACCGAAGTCCCTTCCGACAGGTGAATCCCCGAGCTGGACAATTTGCTTACTCCACAGACAACACCTTTGAACAGGAGATTTACTTTGGTAATAAAGTTGGGCCCTATGGAGGGGACAGAGGTGGACATGGGCCAGGGAGGCGGAAGGTTGCTGGGGCTGGAAACAGTTGTGGGTGTGGATGGGAGGCCCTGGATGACCCAGGTTTTCATGGTAGCATCCCCTGGTCACTAGCATGGCAGGGAAGAGGAGTGATACTGGTGGGGAGGGAACTATTCTCTCTCTTCCTCCTTCCTTTATCTCCATGTCTTACTAAGGGGGCAGAGGAGGATGGACTGTAAAGTAGGCAAGATTTTGAGAATACTCTCTTTTCTGTCTACCCTCTCCCTTCTCTCATTTTGAGATATCCCCCCACTGAGGTGCTATGTTGGAAAAAAAATCACAGGCTTTGGAGTCAGGTAGATTTGGGTTTAAATCCTTCTGAGCCTTAAGCACCTTCTTTGTAAAACAGTGTTAGGAAAACTACACTTCAAGTAGAGTAGATGAGAAAGCATCTATAAGGTATGCTTCTTGCCCAGTGCCTGTCACATAGAAGGTGCTCAGTAAATGCCCACTCCCCTCCCTTCCATCTTGCCATCCTTTGGATGTCTGGGCTTGCAGGATACCTGATCTGCATGTTCCAAGCTGTTTCTTCCCAAACCCCATCTCTTCCTAAACCGCTGTCAGCTGAAAGTCTTCTTAAAGTGTTTAACAAAATTGCTCTAAGGCATTCATGACTGATGGGATTAATTTGGCACCCCTTCTGTAGTGTCTAGCTTTTCATAGGGGACAATGCCTATAAGTGCCACTTTTCCTTACTAAAGGAAAAATGACATCCTTGGCTCCAAGGCCTCTAAAGGACTTCTCTGTGAGGCCACCAGCTGTGACTTTTTTTTCCCCACAGACACTATGGTGACTTACTGTGGGGAGTTAGCTACGCTCCCAGCAAAGAATCGGATCCCTTAGGCAGGGGTCATTGAAAAGGATAAGGAAATAATAGAAAATAGAAAATAATAGAATATAGAAATAAAAGAATACACAGAGATGAACGTACAGTTTTATGAAGTATAGATTTATAATAGTTGGGGTGTCCGGAGACCTCACAGCATTCCCGTGAGCTGTGAGGCCACGAGTGAAGTTTCACATCAGTATTTATGGGTACAGTGCTTTTAGCCGCAGGTGTCTGTCTGTCAGACGGGCACTCTTTGATCAGCTCTCATCCTGTGGCTCCACGCAAACCTGCTTGTCGGACAAAGCAGGAGAAACCACAGGTTTGACTGCAGTGTCACCTTGGAAAGCAGCTGCCACTGACCTGTGAGATGCCCTCCTGAGGAGAGGCAGCTTTTGATATGTGAACTAACACGTTCATATACTCCTTCAGGGCAAAGCCCTGCAAAACTCCTGAGATCATTTCTGTCTCTATATTATAGGGGGCATCTCCATAGAGCAATATTTCTATGGAATAATACTTGTATGAGGCAACATCTCCCCCTTGTTTTAGAAATAAGTTGATGAAGTTGGACAACCATCACAGTGAGGCGTTGGTCTCCGGATTCTTGTGTTCTTTGGAGTTTTCTCCGGAGTATAAATAAGCACAAGCAAATGATTAAAATAATGTGAAAAGTTACTAAAGTGGAACTCCCATAGATCGTAAGATGAGAGAGTGGACCAGCTGACTCCAAACCAGATGACATGCCATTAATAATGTCAGCCTCAGAGAGCAAATTAAGTTTGTGACTGAAGGTACTTAATATTTCTTGTTGTAAGTTTACAATCTCTTCAGTCAGATTTCCTTGATTAAGTAGATGTTTTTTAATGTTTTCCCAAGGAAATCGAGTTTGATTATACATATGAGGTGTAACACAAAATTGAGTGATATTTCAATCACAATGGAGTCTAAGTTGCTTTTGTAGACTTATAACCTGGTCTCCCAGTAAGGTGACTGCTTGTTGTAAGTCAGCCACTTGAGTAGCTTATTTGCTGTCAATTTGATTTGGGGTAGACCATAATTGGTTTGATTCATGATGCCAATTTTAAACAAATTCAGTGGTCTGAATAGTCGGATGCAGAGCTGTATCTGTGGTGGCCCCAGAAGCGGTGACAGCAATGATTCCTAAAATACCTGCTATTAAGAGACCAACAAATCTTTTACTGTGTTTAAGAATGTTGTTAAGTAGTTTGTCCAAAAGGGACATTGCTGGGGTTTCTTGTCAGACTTATTCATTTTAACAGGTAACCACAGTCCTGTTTTGGCTTTGAGAATATAAAGTGTTTCTTTATGAGGATTGAACTTTATGGAATTGTCAATACAGGTATAATAAGAATAGTTGTTACAAGTCACTAGGAAGGAGAGTTCCTTATAGACAGCATGTCCAATCATGAATAAGTAAGGCAGTTTAACACGAGCTTGACTATAATGAGTACAGTTCAAATTAAAAGTCCACTCTCGGCCAGGTGTGGTGGCTCATGCCTGTAATCCTAGCACTCTGGGAGGCTGAGGCGGGTGGATTGGTCAAGGTCAGGAGTTCAAAACCAGCCTGAGCAAGAGCGAGACCCCTATCTCTACTATAAATAGAAAGAAATTAATTGTCCAACTAAAAATATGTAGAAAAAATTAGCCAGGCATGGTGGTGCATGCCTGTAGTCCCAGCTACTCAGGAGGCTGAAGCAGAAGGATTGCTTGAGCCCAGGAGTTTGAGGTTGCTGTGAGCTAGGCTGATGCCATGGCACTCTAGCCCGGGCAACAGAGTGAGACTCAGTCTAAAAAAAAAAAAATAAAAATCCACTCTGGGCTATTACTTGTATCTAATGTGTGCTAATCCAGGCCTGCAAAGGGTGCAAAGCAGCCGGTAATTTACACAATTGATCATGAATAGAGCCATAAAATATGAGGGCCTGGAGAGCTCATACTATTATTGAGCCATGTAATATGACTTTGAAAGTCAGTGTCTTTTACAGATATCGAGGTGGCAGCTTTATTCCAATGAAGTTTTTTAAGATTGTGAGAGGAGGTAGGATGTCCAGATTTACATGGTAACAGATAGTTCATTTTAAGTTAAAGTCTCGACAAGTACCATGGATGTGCCGGGCAAAAAAAAAAAAGAGAAAAAATAAAGAGAAATTAATAAAAATAAAATAAAATAAAATAAAAATAAGTTAAAAGTTTCCCAAAAGGCTTCTAGAGATCCCTTAATTGTCTATGGCCATACCACCCTGAACACTCCTGATATTGGAAGCTAATAAGCAGGGTCGGGCCTGCTTAGTACTTGCTTGGATGGGAGGTCCCTTAATTAACTCTATCTATGTAAGCAAATGGTTATAAAATCTCTTTAAGACTAAGTTCTAAGATAAAGCTATCAATTAGCAGAAAAGTTAAACAGAGATATAGTGGCTCCATATTTCTTTATCTAGTTATTGTGGATTGAGACAGGGAGTCAGGAGTCAAGCAGGAACTGTCCCCTTGGGCTAATTGCTTTTAGCCGCAGGTGTTTGTCTGTCAGGCAGGCACTCTTTGATCAGCTCTCATCCCCTGGCTCCACGGAAACCTGCTTTGTCAGCGACAGCCACAGGTTTAAGACTGCAGTGTCACCTTGGAAAGCAGCTGCCACTGACCTGTGAGATGCCTTCCTGAGGAGAGGCAGCTTTTGATATGCCAACTAACACATATTCACATATTCCTTCAGGCAAAAGCCCTGTAAAACTCCTGAAATCATTTCTGTCTCTATATTATAGGGGTCATCTCCACAGAGCAATATTTCTATGGAACAATATTTCTATGGGCAACATCTTTATGGGGCAACAACTTATGGCTGTGACAATTCTAAGCAACAGTCACCTTCAAGTAATGCTCCACAGTATGGCAGTCGTGGGCCCTAGGGGCTTAGATTAGGGTAAAGGAAAGGGTCTGATCCTGGTGACTGGAAACCCAGGATGAAAAGAAAGAGGGAGGTACTGGGGGACTCACTGTTTCTTTGTTCACAGATGAAGTCAAGATCATCCACCGGATTGGTGCAAACAGAGACCAGATTTTCCTGGAAAACCTCCATCAGTACAGCAAGCAGTTATCTAAGATTTACCCTGAAAGTCCAGAAAAGTGGTGTTCCCAGGCAATTCCTAAAGCACGTAAGCAGGAGCTGATAATGGAGGGTAAAGTGGGAAATGTGGTTATTTCTTTAAGGATCCTAGTTCATGGGCTGGGGCACCAGGCAACTCCCCTCCTACAAACTAAAAATCATACAATTATAAAATACTGGCTGGGCACAGTGGCTCATGCCTATAATCCTAGCACTCTGGGAAGCCAAGGCAGGAGGATTGCTTGAGGTCAGGAGTTTGAGACCAGCCTGAGCAAGATCATGACCTCATCTCTACTAAAAACAGAAAAATTAGCTGGTCATTATGGTGGGCGCCCATAGCTACCATCTGCTCCTGAGTCCCAGCTACTTGTGAGGTTGAGGCAAGAGGATCTCTTGAGCCCGGGAGTTTGAGGTTGCAGTGAGGTATCCCAATGCACTCTACCTGGGGTGACAGAGTGAGACTCTGTCTCAAAAAATAATAAAATAAATAAAATAAAATAAAACAAAATACTAGCTCTAACTAGGAAGAGCCTCAGTGGAACATGGATTCAGTTGAAATCAGATATATCTTAGGTGTAACCAAGTCATTTAGGGCCAATAATTACTAATAAGGCAGATCCCATCTTAATGCTTATAGAGGAAGTACACTCCTGACATTCTGCCCTTTTCCCTTGGGTTGGCTCTACCCTCCCACTCCACACTCAGGCCCATACCTGCCTCAGGCCCTAGGGTCTTCCTTTGTCATAAGTTTCTGTTTCACAAGTACATCATTCTCATTCTGTAAGACAAATAGGGAAGAGGGAAGGGAGGTGGCCAAGAAATGAGCTTAATGAAACAAAATGTGCATATTCTTCAAGAGACTCCATTTTCCATATTTCCATTTCCCACCACTCTTTTCTTTGCAATATCCCTGTTCAGATGGCTGGCCTGGTGTGCAGGAACTAACAGCAGTGGTCATCCATTCTTTTTCCCACCAGCCCCAAACCTCTGTCTCTAGTGCTGCCTGGATAGGCAATAGCTGGGTAGGCAATGCCCAGGCAAAGGAGGTGCTAATGATGGCAGCTATGGGAAGCTTCCACAAACTCTCATACCAGAGTTAGAGAAAGGACCCCAGAGAAGCCCTGGAATGAGTCTTGATAGGTCATTTTCTGAAGCCCAGCCGCTTTGTTATAATGAAGACACTAATCATTCATGCAGGAAGGCACTTTGGCAATACTTGGATGAGGTGGTTTGTAAACTATTAAATGCTGTGCAAACTCAAAACATTATTGTTAATATTACTATACTACCTTCTGCATAAGCCAACTCCATTCTGAGAATAAGCAAATCCACAGAGTCAAAAAGTAGATTAATGGTTGCTAGGGGTTGGGGCAAGGGAGGGAAGGATGATAATGAGGTTTCTATGTGGGGTGAGGAAACATTATACAATTAGATAGTGGTAATAGTTGCACAATTCTGTGACTACACCAAAACCACCAAATTATACACTTTAACAGAATGAATTTTACAGAATGTGAATCCTACTTCAATGAAATTGTTGTTAAAAGAAAATCTTCTGAGGATCCTGCTGCAGTCATGGAGGCTTCCACTGCCCACCTCTTGCCAGGGGCTGGGAGGAGGAAGGGAGGAAAGCATATGGGTTCACAGGCACTCTCCTCACCAGTGGTGCAGGACATCTGCCCTCCTTTTTCCTAGGACAGGTCATTTAATGAGCTGATGTTGCAGGAATACTCATAGTAGAATCATAAAAATAGCATTTGAGATTGGTCTGGGAAAATTAAAGTCAGAATAGTAATATATACATAACTTTTAATAGCCATTCTTTATCATCTCAGGAAACAGAGTTAGGTATGCAAGAACCTAGAGAAAAATAGGAAAATTCCTGGGGTTAGATGTGGTAGCAAATTTTTTTTCCTCTCCATTTTGACTGAATTAAAAAACCTAGAAGATGATTTCCTTACAGTGATGAAATTTCTCAAGAAGTGTACCTATTACTAGACAGCCTTTAGTTCCCCAAAAATTGCATCGTAAAACTTTCTAGTGTAATCACATCATTACCATTCCTAAAACCAAGCATAGGTTTGATGATATAAGTCACAGATACAAGGGCACCATTTGTTTCTGCCAACAAAGTACATAGCCCCTTTTGTCCCATAGAAAATGAAAGAGTCATTTCTTTGTATACTTCCTTTACATGACTTGTGATGAGGAAATTGGCTGGTAGATGTGTTTCTATCTGCCTAGAACTCTAGAAATAAAGTAAATGGTGGCAGTTGTATTTGTTTATTCCCATATGGGTTAAATATTAGAGATCTTAGACTTTCTCACCACAAATCCATTCATCTCCTTGAGCAGGGAGATATAGGAGAAATGGGGTTAATTCAGCTACTTTTCACCTCTTCAGGAGGGATTTCAAGTGGGCTAAAAGAACTAGGGAAGGTGTCTAATCACCAGGAGCTGACCTGTCCCAGGTGTCCTACAGCTCCTGGCTGCACACACCCTCTGGGAGGACCATTTAGAGGAGATGCACTGTATGCACATCTTTGCTCAATTGCCCTTGGGTCTCACAGGCCTCTTTTTACATTAGAAGAAATGTTATTGCCCTCCTTGCTCAAAGGAAATAATTGATTCTGAGCAAATCTAAAGGTGTTAGAGTTGAAATGAAATCTTGGAAGAAACAGAAATGGCTGGTAGTAACCAATTAAAACATGAGAATGATTAGACAATGTGGCAAATAATGAATTTAGTAAGTTTGGAAATGCTTTTTTATCTGTCTTCCCATCCCCTTTCCCACACAGCTGCTCTTCTGAGAAAGAGGGTTTCTGAATCTGTTTGGCACCATGAAGAACATTAGTCCAGAAAACATAACAACTATAACTTTGTAAATATAACGGCTCTATTTATGTAGTATTTATGGTTTCTTCTGTCTTCAAGTTTCTGTTATTTGTCATACTAGGAAAAATTCAGAGATGCTAAAATCTTTAAAATTTCATAGCTTATATGACCATTCCTCTCCCCAAATTAAAAACATTAAAAAGAAAACTTAATAAATTAGGAATTAATGGCCAATTACACTCTAATTGCAATATATCAAATATTAAATTTTATGAGCAAAACTTGTTACATATAAATATGTTTATGTTCCTAAAGATTTATTAAATTTAAAGGTGTATATATGTGTCTCAATTCCCCCCTTCCCCAAATTTCTCACCCCATCGTCCTCAGAGCTTAAGTGTAGTCAGGACTTTTCATAATTCCCTGTGGGACTTATACTCAGTTCCCTATAGAATAATGGGAAAGTTTCATTTTGTCCTGGTGTTAGTCACGAATAGAATGAGATGCAAGCTGGGACCACTCTGTGGCAGGGCCTCATGCAGTGGGGTGAGAAGACCTCACACTGCCACGCTACACAGCCTGCAGGCCCGTGAAAGGAGCCCCGCGCTGGACTGCTCTGCCCATCCCAGCCAAGGGTCCACTGCTGCAAGGGTGTGAGGAGGATGAGTCTCTTAAAACCAGGAAATCGAGGAAGATGGCAAAATCACCACCAGAGGTTGTGACTTGGGAACTGGCAATGCTGCGGAAGATGCTGCAGGAATGGAAGACAGCATGGGCTCTAAGTGAGTGAAGGGATGTCCTGAGATATTGGTAGGCATTTGTGAGCAGGTGATTCTCACCTTGGACTAGTGTTTCTCAATCTTCGAAAATCCATCCCTCTCTTATGGAATGTAAAAATCTGTTTGCCTCATTAAAACTAGACTAGATAAGAGCCTTTCACACAGTTGATATATATGTCTGGGTGCTTTTTGCATGGGTGGGTATTACTTCAGTAATTTGTGGAAATTCACTAAACTGAGAACTCTTTATAGGCAGGGACCCTGTCTTACTGATTTCTCAACATAGTGCCCTTAACCACTTTGTTTTATTGCCCCTTTTGTTTTTTAGATGGTTATAATGAAAAAGTTATTTAAGCAAAGAGAGATAGGATAAAGGATGGGAATTGGGGGAGTTCTGTCTGGGAACTACCTGAGAGGGTACATGGATCATTAGAGAAGTAACATCCCTAAAGACCCCATCTGTAGGCCCTTTATTCTTCTGAGCTAATGTTTTGCTTGAATTGTCCCGGGAGAAGGCAGACTTCTTATCACCTGCCTGCAGCAAAACATGTAACTATAACCAGATGGTTTTCTTCTCATTTCCCTCATTGTGGCATAGTCATCGAGTGGCACCATGAGACAGTGGAGAACCTGCTGCGCAGCTTGACAAACATGCATGATGGCATTCGGATCCAAGCCATCGTCACATGTGCCACAGCTGCTTTGGAACGGCCCCGGACTGTCACCAGCCAGGGGAAATCAGGTGAGAGCCAGGACCGAACTGCTTGAGAACATAAGCAACTCATAAAGCCACAGAATATTTAAACTAGTGGGACCTTAGAGTTTGAGATAATTTTGCAAGCGTGGAAACCAAGACCTAGAGCCTGGCCTAAATATATATAGCTTATCAGCAACAGAGATGAAATTGAAATTCCTGACTTCCAGTCCAGTATTTTTGGCACTACACTTTATCACCTTTTGTTTCCTCAGTGGCTTACAGGAAAGTTCACATTTTCCCACTTAGAGATCCCATTCATAAAAACATGTCTGTGTGTATATGTACACACACACACATACTTTCCTCCCAATTCCATTTTAACCCTTCTTTGAACAGAACATCTCTTTCTCTCTCTCTTTTTTTATGTCCCCACACCCCTGGACAGCACATCTCAATACGTCCAAAACTGAACTCATGGCCGGGCATGGTGGCTCATACCTGTAATCCTAGCACTCTGAGAGGGCGAGGTGGGTGGATCGCTCAAGGTCAGGAGTTCAAAACCAGCCTGAGCAAGAGTGAGACCCCATCTCTACTATAAATAGAAAGAAACTAATTGACCAACTAAAAATATATATACAAAAAATTAGCCGGGCATGGTGGTACATGCCTATAGTCCCAGCTACTTGGGAGGCTGAAGCAGAAGGATCGCCTGAGCCTAGGCGTTTGAGGTTGCTATGAGCTAGGCTGATGCCACGGCATTCACTCTAGCCTGGGCAACAAAGTGAGACTGTCTCAAAAAAAAAAAAAAAAAAAGAAACTGAACTCATCATCCTCAACAAAGACCCCCTTCCCTATACTTGCCCTTCAATTTTCAGCTAAGGTGTCACCTCCTCTGAGGAGCCTTCCCTGCCCCACCGCCCAGACTTAGTTCAGGCTCCCTGCTATATGCTTCCACACATAAACATTTTTTATTGCATCTGTTTATTTCCTTGGGTATTAAATGGGATGATGTATTTTCAGTGCCTGGCATATAGAGAAAGCCTTCAGTAGGCAGCAACAGATATTATTATAATCATATCCCTAAATCTTCCACATACATAAAAAGAACACCTTTGTTTTACTCAGAATTTTGTCTTTCATGTGATCCCTTTCACATGTCCGGAATGTCTAGATTTTGTCTCGTTACCTCCACAAAGAAATTATCTTCTTCATTATTTCTTTTATTTATTTATTTATTTTTGAGACAGGGTCTCACTCTGTTTTCCAGGCTAGAGTGCCGTGGCATCAGCCTAGCTTACGATAACCTCAAACTCCTGGGCTCAAGCCATCCTCCTGCCTCAGCCTTCTGAGTAGCTGGGACTACAGATGCACACCACCACACCCAGCTAATTTTTCTATTTTTAGTAGAGATGGGGTCTCGCTCTTGCTCAAGTTGGTCTCAAACTCCTGAGCTCAAATGATCTACCCGCCTCAGCCTCCCAGAGTGCTAGGATTACAGGCGTGAGCCACCTCGCCCGGCCCATCTAGTCCATTCTTAACAGATGGCATATTGGCCCACAGCATTAGTAAAAAGAACAGATGATTAGATATCGTAAAATTGGAGTCACCAGCTCAGCTCTGCCACTTCTTGGAAAATCAGCTAACCTCTCTAAGCTTCAACTTCCTTATCTATAAAAAGAGAATAGTTGTGGAAGAATAATAAAACCTTTTCTCCTTCTGCTTGAGAATTTGAACTTCAGTTAAATGTCTGCCTGTTCCTGATGAGGATAGGAACTGTCTTTATAGGCAACATTGCTTATGGTAAAAATGAACCCTGACTGATAATTACATTGGGACTAGGAAGACTGTAAGTACAATATAAATACCTGATAGGGACACCATACTTTGGGCATCCCTAAATGCTATATCTTATAACAGGCATGCCCTTTGTGGATCCTAGAATTATATCTATGGAGTTGTTAAAGGAGATATTAATACTAGTTCCTATAAAGCACAGGTTCGCCCAAAGTGACCTCCATGCTTCTGAGCTGTCCCTAGAAGGCTCTGTGGAATGCTACACAAACAGCCTCAAGAACTCAAGCCAAGGCCGGGCGTGGTGGCTCACACCTGTAATCCTAGCACTCTGGGAGACTGAGGCGGGAGAATCATTTGAACTCAGGAGTTCAAGACTAGCTTGAGCAACAGTGAGGCCCCGACTCTACTAAAAAATAGAAAGAAATTAGCTGGATAACTAAAAATATATAGAAAAAAATTAGTGGGCATGGGCATGTATGCCTGTAGTTCCAGCTACTCGGGAGGCTGAGGCAGAAGGATTGCTTGAGCCCAGGAGTTTGAGGTTGCTGTGAGCTAGGCTGATGTCACGGAACTCTAGCCCAGGCAACAGAGTGAGACTCTGTCTCAAAAAAAAAAAATTATATATATATATATATGGCCTTATGGGGCAAATAGGTTGATTTTCATCACTAAAACTAATGGTGTTTCCAGAAGCCATTTCTCCACAAAGAAAAAAAAAAAAAAAAACTAATGGTGAAGGTCACCATAGTCTAGCT